AGGTATTGCATTCGATGGTCTGGAATGGAGGGGTCTGGAACGGAATTCGGGGACTTGATCCGGAGCTCTGGATCGGAGTCTGGATCGGGATGTGCGCTCGCCCTTGTTCCGGACGTTTCATACTGAGCAGTAGCCATATAATCCCTCTCTAATCCCTACATGATCCCTATATAATCCCTATATAATCCCTATATAGTATATTCCCTGATTTTCTACTAACCCCCAGTAAGTCTAGGGAAAGAGCTGCCCACCACATCCCTGCACCCCTCAAGGAAAGCCACGAGCTACCGCAGATCAGAGACCGTTTACAGTTCCTAGCCTACAGGGTCCAAGGACCCAAATAATTTGGGCCCAACTGCCATGAAGCTCAAAGGATTATTCAAGAAGCCCAAACCTCAACCCCAAACCCTAGACCCCATAGACCCTAACAGCCAGATGCCACACACTATACGGAATTGAGATCAAGAAGCCTAAGCCCTTAAAGCCCTAAAAGCTCTCAAGGAATTAACCTGCCTTGTCATAAGCCTACAGACCTAGATGCCAAGAAACTTATCGCCCTAACCCCTAAATACCCTGAACCCTAAGCCCTAAACCATAAGCCCCGAAGATTAAACCCAGAGGGGCCTCAACATCACAGTTTCCACTAAGGGGCCTAAACAATTACAACTACAACTGTTTAGGGATCATCAGGAAAAATCCCTAAACCTTCCACCCTAAGCCCTAAGCCATCTACCCTAAACCCTAAACCATCCACCCTAAACCCTAAACCATCCACCCTAAACCCTAAACCACGCACCCTAATCCCTAAACCCAGACCTTCCACCCTAAGCATATGATGGCCAACTCCAGACCTCGGTGCTAGACAAGGATTCCAGCGACCCCTTGATGTCCTGCGGCGTAGGATTAGGGCCTAGGTTTATGTAGGGATTAGGGCTTAGGCATGGTGTAGGGTTTGGGGATTAGGGCTCAGGGTTTAGAGTTAGGACCGGGCTTAGGGATTAGGAGTCCCTGATGGTTGCAATCCCCTGCCCTAAGAATCAACATCGTCATCCCCTCTCCATGTTCAGTATTTCCAGATAAACATACCGATACATCTTTTTTTCTACTCAACACGAATCTGTATAACAAGCGGTTTGTCGGTAGGCCAATGCTGCTGAACTCATATTTTCCATGTAATGCATATACTTTGGGTCATTCCCCCACCCAGTAACTGTCCTTAAAGGGGGCCTTATTAAGGGGCTCTTATAATTCCTATCACCAACTGTTACTGTAAGAAGGAATAACCCAACATATACTCTCTATTATAGACTGACCTGTCTCAGGCCGAAGAATGCATCACCTGCACCCCATACAGGTCAAAAAACTTGAAAAACATGGGTCACATGGATCGTAGCGAATTACCCAAACAAAGGACCTATCGAAAGTATGGGTTATCATGGTCTCATGCTTTTGGGCCATGGCACAGTCTGTGGGTTTGGTTCTTGAGAAGGTGAACTACAAGGTTCAAGAAAAAAGAAGGAAGACTTCTGCATCAAGTTTGCAGGAATGCTCTTCGTTCTTTTTTGCCTTGAACTAAAGATGGGCTCTCGAAATTCATTCTTGGGTTGACATGTCTTTAGATGTCCTGCTTTGAAGCTTATAGCGCTGATCCTCATAGATAACGACACTAAAAGCCCATCGATGCTGAACCGTCCCTTACACCCAAGCCCTCGTCAATCTTGGAAATCCCGCGGGAGATTCGGATATCTAAGTAACTTCTTGCTCCACTCCCAGGTCATCACATCAAGGGCGGGAAAACTCTCTGTCCTCCATCCAGCTGTCCGCAAGATCCATTGATGGGAAGGTACGGTAAGCTGCCTCCGAACCGCGCCAAGGTTTTGTCATTGAAGTCTAAGGCTGGGGTTACTTACAGCATTTTAACGAAAGATATCTTCAATCCATCCTTTACCAAATTGGGCCCCCGCACAGTGGCTCCCTGTTGAAACTCTTGACTGGAGAAAGGACACCACATGCAGGACCGATCTCTCAAAACCTTGAAGCTGCATGAACTGAATGAGGATTTGAAGGCTCCTAGAGGTATTTCAGGGGTTCTCTAGCCCCATGAGTCCGAGAACATCCCAGTGGCATATTGAAGGTACGCCGTACCGCTGGAGTTGCTGGAGTTGTCCGATGCCACGCTGAGGGTCCTTGGATGAGGAACACTTTGACTCTGATTTACCAAGATAATACCTTGCGTACCGCCCCCATCCAGTACCACTCTATAATAGGGGTAATACGGTGGATGATGACAATCCTGCATGACCCAAAGTGCCTTGTACCTTGACAATCATGGGTTCATAGCCCACTACGGTCATGCAGGATTTTTCGTATCAACATTGTTAAACCATATAGAATCATATAATAATTCTAATCGAGCTGTTACTGAGGGGAGGCAGTATCCAAGCGATGCTCTCTTCATCTCAAGCGGTAAAATGGGACATACGGATGTGCACAGACATGTAACGTTGTGTAATAGTACTGCGAAGAAGATGCAAAGATATACAATGACATATAACCGTAGATAACACCATTTACTCTCGCTAATGCTTGGATCTCAGCCACTTGATCTTCCGTTATGAGGCTTGCCTAAGGATGCATTCATGTTAGGATGAAGTACGCTCGCAAAGGTAAAATAGAAGCTCATTTTGTACCTGTATAAAGCAATTCTTGTTGGGGACCACCTTCAATTTCCACCGTGTGGCAGTTCAAGACCTCGACTGGCCTTTGGTTTAAGTGAGCCAGGAATAAAGTTGTTTGTTTTTTTGGGCCTTGTGCAGTTCTAGGTGGGCGGCACACGAGGCGAACAACAGAATAAAAGTTCAAGAGATTACGAAAAGGATTCTTGCAGGAATCTTCTTCAACCGTGTACATGCACCGAAGCACAGTCTCAGATCTGTGCAATCTTCTTCAACTAGGCTGGCTCTAACCACAACAATCGCAGCCTGCATAAGCGTGTATCCCTGGTATGGACAGTGTCTAGGCATTGTGGTAAGCGGTAAGAATCTGTGGGGGCACTATCCCTAAGCCCGACTGTAATCCCTACTATAATTACCTCTCCTATGTCACCCTCTACACATCCTCCAACTGTAGTCCGGCAAGGATATCTGAGGGTTTCCCAATCTTAGGGGTACCTTTGAGGGGGTCCCCATATGAATAAGGATTATAACATTTTGCGGTCTATGTTGAGGTCTCCTTAATTCTGGGAAACTATCATCTGGCAATGATACAACGCAGGATTTGCAGATGTCCTCCCATGCTCTCAGAGTCCTCATTTCAACTGACTAGCTTCCATTTGATTGTCCTTTTCTGGCTTTTTCATCCCCTATGCCCCAAACGCTTAAATGGAACGAGGCTCAAGTCAACTGATGCATTCAGCATCGTTGCCAGGGCAGCAGCAAGGCCTGACGACTGCCATCAGTAAGAAATCATAATCACAACGGTACAGTGATAAGAGTAATAGTAGTCATAATAATCAAAGTAACAAGAGTCATAGTAGTAGTAATAATATCAATAGTTGTAAAAAGCAAAAGGTAAGGATTTCCGCACATGCGGATTCATGGTGCCATGGCCAAGCTGCAACACTAAGGTCACTAGGATCCAAGCTTGGCAAAGATCACAGCGCGCCAGGTTTTTAGAAGTAAGACTCCCAAGGTCGGCACAGTTTTTGGAAGCTGCTCAGCCCAGCATCTTGGGCCAGTGTTGGAACACCCATAAGAACCCCAACAACAATTTGGACTTTGCTGTTTGTGTCAGTTACTTGTGCATGTCCTAAAGAAAGCTTTCCGCGGTCACTTGAGACTCCCCGACCCGCCACATGCAAATGTCTGTCGGCGATATGCGCAAAACTGACACTGCTCCCACCCACAGTGGTACGACGACATCAAATTTCACATACATTCCGCATAATTAGCGATCAACGCAGTGAACGGAACCACCATTGCTATTTTGGTGTTCCTAAGGAACAGTATTATCAGGCCGCCGTTGTTTGTTCCTTAGTAGCCATCCCCATTGCCAATAGCAACATCGCTTGCAAACAGGGCACCGTGTGCTGAGGGTGTCACAAGAAGGCACAGTACGATGCCAAAATAACCCAAAACCGAACAACTTGATTGAAAGTCACACGCAATCCCTCTTCCGCGAGGGGCAGCATTTGATTTGGGGGTCCAACGATGCATCACCCCATCTGCTTGACTTTGCAAGACCTCATGAGGTTAAGACCCTCCTGCAAACTTATCCGTCCTATAGCCGTTTGAAACTGACAGATCCCGCCTGCAGTTACATTCCCATCCTCCACAAAATCTTGGACCACGCTTAGTTCTGTTTGGACTGCTTGGAGTCGTCGACGTTGTTCTAGACGCAAGCTGAGGGAGCCACTGAGCCGAACAGTGCCATCCCAAAATGTGGTGGTTGTAGCTGTGGTCGTTGCTGTTGAACATGTTGGCAAGGCGCCGCTAAGAATGCCATTGGCACCACAGGAAAGGACCGCTTGGCCGCCTGTCCACCCTTCGGAACATTCCACGGTGCATTCCTGACCCGTGGTAATATTCTGGCAGCTATGAGAATATTCCGCAGCCACTGGGATGTTGTACTGGCAAACTTGCGGCAAGCATACCTTTCTTCTTCAGCAGGAAGACTGAAACTTGCAAGCCGTATCCTAATCTTATTGCCAAGTGAGAACACCAAAAGATCTATGTTCAGGTTCGCAAAGATGCTGGGATGGTGCCGCGCAAGGCATATCCATCAACAGGGAGGCTCACATTTGACTGATTGCTCTCCGGCCCAGAACAGGTCCACTGAAATACGCCTCCCTCCTCAGGACTTCCGAGGTTTGCTTGATCAAAGCACTGGTTCTTAAAGAAACTCCAGACCCCCAAAAGGATCCAACAA